GAGAGAACGAGAAAAAGAGAGAGAGAGAGAGAGAGAGAGAGAGAGAGAGAGAGAGAGAGAGAGAGAGAGAGGGCGAGAGAGAGAGAGAGAGAGGAGGTTGAAAAGAGTAAGGAAAAGAACACTTACATGGTTTGTGACCAGATGGCACCCGCGCCGGAAAGGCGGCAAGATGATCGTCCTCTGCACCCACTTCGACATCGTGGAAGATTGATTTTTTATTGACAGATTGACTTTTTATTGACTGACTGATCGATTGATTGGCTGATGGATTGGTTGATGGCTCACTTCAGTAAGCGACAAGGACGACACACAAAACAATTTATTTTTTTATTTTCAGGGGGGAAAAAAAGGGAGAAAAGCGAAAAAAAATAAGGAGAGAACAGAAGCAACCTATCACGTAATTACAATTTTACAGTATAATCACTCGAAGGAACGACGTCAAACCCTCAGCTCAGCTCGCTTCTATTCCAACGACGATGATGACAAGAAAAACAAAATCAAAAAAAAAAAAAAAGAGAACAAAAAAAAAGAAAATGGAACCCTTCCTCCTTTACCAAGCACGCAACAGCTCTCCTCCCCCACCCCACACACCACCCCCCCCCCGGCCTTCCCCTCCTAACACCCACCCAGCCGTCCAATCCGTTCTGTAGCAACGCTCGAGATCAGCAGTGAGCGACAGCGATATCGTTCAAAATCATTGTGCGACAGCGATAAATGATTGTGCGACAGCAGCTGTAATCACTGTGCGGCAGTGGTAATCATTGAGCGACAGCAATATCGTTTGCAATCACTGCGTGACAGCGATAGTATCGTTTGCAATCATTGTGCGACAGCCAGCGACGATATCGATTGAGAAATGAAATAATCGTGCGACACAGCCAGCATTTGGATGTAGATCAGACCGATCCGATCCTTCTCGCACAGGGTAGGATTTTCCAATCACACGCCGTGTATCTGGCGGCAATTACGTCCAGAAACCAGTGGAAATCAGTACTGCCAACAAGGTATTGGCATGAGTACGATGCCCTCTTCAGTGTGCGACGGCGTTCCAGTCGAAATCAGTCCCGTGCGAGAGAGCGCTCGACACCATGTCCTTCTTTTTCATTGCTCTTTTTTGTCTTTTTTTTTCGTATTTTCTCAGGGCGTACTCACACTACGGTAGCACTATCTCGAATGTATCTGACCGCATTCACGGCCATACCTGGATATATCCGGGCGCATTTCCGTCCAAAAATATGTAAAAAAAAGGTCGTATGTGTACGTGTACGTATGCCCCTCAGAAGGTGCACCACCAACACAAGGTCCGAGAATCAGACAGACTTCAATCACTGCGCACGACTTGTGGCAAGTCACACAGATCGTCGCGATCGCGACTTGTGCGACGGCAGTTGCGACATGATAATTTTGGGAAATTATGGCGCCCGGCAGCCTGCTGCCTGATTCAGCCAGCCAGCGGAACGGCGTTCTGTGCTTACTCTCTGAGAGTGCGCTGAAGTTTCCGGGCAGTCTGCATCATTCCCCCTCTCTCGACCCCCTCTCCACTCCCCACCCCCACCCCGACCCCCTCTCCCTCCCACCCCCCCCCCCACCCCCTCTCTCTCCCACCCCCGCCCTATTCTTTTTAATGGCGATGGCAGCCTCTAGAAAAGGCGATCTGACAGCGCAAACAAGAGGAAGAGAGCCAGTAGGAGGAAACGAAAAAGACAGATGCACAAGCTTCTCTCGACGCTCAAGATCGATAGCTGTGCCGTCATCAGAGAAGCAGAGATCCTACGATCAATGGCTATGGAGCCATAAGTAAGAGAAGAAGAGAACTACTGACGAAGCGCGGGGGGCGACAGATCGATACCAGCTACGTGCACAATCAGTGGATAAACGGCACATTCTACCGCCGAGTACCCTCGAGAGGTAACGGCCGCCATCGCCAGATCGTGAAGAAGCGCACTCTTTTCGTCACTCGGCGTCCTCTCGGCAAGGCCGGATGGCCTCAGGGGAGGCTTGCAGTAGAGGTAGGTAGGGTATTCCAGTAGGAATGTGGCCTGAATGGTGGTTAGATTCAATCAAAAAACGAAGTGTTGGTGTGAATGAAAATGGCCTCCGGCGTACAGTTCTGACGAACTACAGCGATGGATCCTCTGCAAACAAACGACGACGCTTCGATGCATTTCCACGTACGACCTGGTTGCACCACTCGCCATCCGCCAATATTTTGAATGCATCCACACAGCGCGTCTGTCCAGATGCGTTCAAAATCTTGGCGGATGGTGAGTGGTGCAACTACTGGTAGGCCCCTCCTCAGGTCACGATCTGGTTCTCGCAACTTTATCCACTTTTCGCCATTTGGATTGATTTCCAGCTGGATCCAGCTGAACCTGGTCCTAGGGCCTCGACGCACCACTCACCAAATTCACAAAAGACTATCTTTCCGCGTTCTTGAGGCAGATTCATCCTCATTTTGCAGATTTGGTGAGTGGTGTGGCGAGGCCCTACTTTCCGCTCTGGATGCCGCCATGAGGAGCCCATGCGCCTGTGGGTCTGCCGTTACCCCTTTATCTTATTCGCGGCCCTAAGGCTGCGGTATGGTAGGCTTGGGCGTTTGTGTCAAGGTGTTGCATTTTTGGTGGCAGGCGACCACGATGCAAGTGGGTTCTTAGGGGGGAGAAAATTTGGGGGACCGGTCCTTCAAGATATTTAGCAGCATTAGGGCTGCAGTATAGTGGGCTTCGGCGTCTGTGTCAAGGTGTCGCATTTTTGGCGGCGGGCGACCAGGACATAAAGTGGGTTCTTAGGGAGCAAAAAAAAATGGGGGACCGGTCCTTGGCAAAATTGTGGACTACCTACAGCTAGCTATGGTAGAACCGGGACTCTTGAAAAAAGGAAGGACCGGTCCTCGGATGGAAGCGGACCCCAAAAAGAAGTGGGGGACGTTGGACCAGTCTTCGGGTGGAAGCAGATCCCAAAAGGAAGTGAGGGCATATGAATC